AAAAAAAAAAAAAAAAAAAAAAAAAAAAAAAAAGCAAACAACAAGGTCGAATAATACAGCACTGTATCGGTCTGCTTTGCGCAAACCTTGCCTCTGACGTCGCCCCACGGGGTCCGTTTCTTGCTCACCCCGATTGTGGATCTGCAAATTGCAGACAGGGGAGTCTCCCTTCCGAGATTTCAACTTTTTAATTCCAACAGCAGTATCTTTGATGCACCGCTAAAGTGAAGGTGTAGAATGAGCACTTTGCCTACTGCGCTGGTGAAACAGTCTACCCCTTTCCATTTTTAATTTGCTCTGAGTCCTATACCCCATTTTTGGAGCAGGGGGACACTGCAAGGGGAGTCAGCACCCCTGCAATAGATGCCAGCGGTTACGAGGATTCCCACGCGGATGCACATCCGTGGGAACTTCGCACCATCACTGGGTTGATACACATTTGGCTGCTGCGCGGGGAGTCGACCTCCTTTTTTTGTACTCCAAACTTTGTGTTTTACATTTTTTTTTTTTTTTTGCGTGAGCATTTGGTACGTGGCTCCCTCCCTCTACGTAGACGTGGGAACAAAGACGCACTGGTGTGCGGACAGAGCATATACACTCCCCACGCAGAGGCACTAGTACGAGAACAGTGTATGGGCGGGACAGCTGGCCAAACATGGGCACCAGTGAGGATGCCGTTTCTGCAGCTAAAGGGAGAAAAAGAACTTTGCCGTGGGATGAAGTATTTGATAAGCACGCGCGGGTAGGTGTACAAATGTGCGCTGCGATTGGGGAAGACATGGACAGCACTGCAGCAATTGGCCGTGGGACACGTGCGGAGCTCGCGGAGCGCGTGGTGACACCACAACAGAACGCACACAAAGAAGGACGACTCCAAAGCAGCGACACAGTGTGCAACATCCTGTCCTTCATGCCATTCTCCCAAAGATGGAGCTGCAGATTGTTAAGTAGATCCTTCTACCAAGCCTTTCACACAAAATATGCATGGGATCATATAGATGTACGGTTCCTAGATGTGGACATTTTTAAGTTTAATTTTTTGAACACATTCCACAAACATTTTGTGAATACCTTGTCCTTGTTTTTATCAATTCATGAAAACACACGTGCAGAGCCTACCATTAATCTCGCCTTCAAGAATTTCCCACGCTTAACAGATCTGCGTCTATACTGTAGAAAAAAAAATAACAATTATATTTTTGAGGGGGTCCATCCCATGGTCTCCAGTCTGTTAAGCGGGAAGGCGACCATGCCGCAGAAGGAAGACGTCTCGAACGATACACATGAGCATGCTGATGATAGTGCCCATGGAATGACTTCTCCGCTGGACAGCGCTGCTAACCAGTGCAGCCAGTCTCCCGTGGACCTCTCCGATTGGGACTTTGAGTTCAGCGACCTTTTTTTGTACAATCGGTACTACGGACATGGGCAAGCAGACAGTCAAAATGGAAGGTATAATCATGGACAGGAGGATGGTGAGGGCATCGCTCACGAGGTAGACGACCCCCCGGATAACCTTCACGCAATTGCGGCCCGCTCACATATATGGAAACAGCAACGGCTTCATTTGGCGAATCAGTTTGAGCACCTAGAACGGCTGGTGTTGGACGTAAAAGTAAGAGGAGATGAACTTCTCCCCTTCGTTGGAAAAATGACGAACCTAAAGGATATAATCCTGAGCAAACTTTTATACACCGACAAGCTAAACAGAGCTCAGTGCATAACCATATTTACATGCTTCATTGAGCAGATAAAAAAAAATAATATTCGAGTGTTGCAACTTGGGTTGTTCTTCACTCGAGAGTACAAACCCACTGACTACCTGGACAATGAGCTATTTCGCAAACTTGTAAAGGGCAGGACGCAACTGACTTCCAATGCAGATAAGGAGGAGGGCGACGACCTTATACACGTGCTGCACAAGAACCACTTGCATTCGCTGTACTGCCTCTGGAGCAACGACCTCTTCATCTCGTTCGACATGTACGAGCGGATTCGGACCTTCAGGTGGGTCGCCCGGGCAGCACACACACGACGCCAGCGTGGCGGCGGCGTAGCAGCGCATTAACCGCCTTTTCGCGCCCTTTTCACCGCCTCCCCACCGCTTCCCAACTTTTCCCCCTCTTTAGCAACCTGAAGGTATGGATCCTGCCCGGCTGGCGCGCGCTCTCCCTCGTGAAGCAGTGAGCCCAAGACGCGACGCCACGTCACGCGTACGTGGTGATTATCATTTTGTTTGTCTGTCCACATTTGTCTCTTCGTGTTTGCCTTGGTCATTCCTTCCCTCTGTCCGCATTCTCTTTTGTCTCACTGCACGTTTTGAAGCAGTCACATTTATTAATAACCGTGCTGCATTATACATATATATATATGTATATATTTTTTTTTGTGTGCGTGTTCCATTTGGTCTATTCTCATTAGTTCCCTTTTATTAATTAAGACCACATGGGCGTAAGTTGACTTATGCAAGGGTGCCCGTTTGCTGTGGCACTTTCGCCGCCCGTGTGTTTTTTTTTTTAATTTTTAATTTTTAAGATGAACCTTTCGTCAACTCTGCTGAACGTTGCCCATACACATTACAAACTACACGAATGAAAAAACAAAAAAAAGTACAAAAAGAATAGGCGGCCATCTGCGTCATGCAATAAACGGACTTGTGCCAACAGTGGGGGGGGGGGGGGGGATACCCTTGCTGGGCATGAGCTAATTCGGTTAAAAATGCGGGTGAATTTTTCGGAACAGTTTGTAAAAAAAAAAAAAAAAGCTCTGCATAAGAAAAAACCAAATACAACTTAACACTCATCACAATGTGGTGCTATGCAGCTCTATGTGTCTTACTCCGAGCCAAGGGCCGCTTTCCCTCCTCGGGTGTCCTGGTAGTATTTGCAGGAATCCGTCACAGCACACATGTTGCAATGCGGGCTTTTCGCCTTGCACACCACCTGGCCAAACCCAACGAGGGTTTTATTTAACTCAGACCACAGAGCCTTGGGGACAAAACTCTCCAACTTGCATTGCGTACCTGACTCGTTTTTCGTGCATACCCAATTCAAGCGGTTAGAAATCCTATGCACGTGTATGTCCACAGCTATCCCTTCATGTGTATTCAACGCAGTCTGTAAAATCAGGTGAGCCACCTTCTGCCCGATGCCTGGCAGTTGCAACAACTCCTCCAGTGTGTGTGGAATGTCGTAATTATATTTGTCCCTCAATATTTGGCTAATCTGAATTATTTGTTTAGCTTTAATTTTGTAAAAACCTACCGCTTGTATTAATTTTTGTAATTCCTCTTCAGATGTCTTTAGCATGTTGTGTACTGTGAGTCCGTGTGCTTTTAATTTCTCCATGGCCATGGCGGTGTTTTCGTCCCTCGTCCTTGTGGACAGCATACACGAGACTAACGTTTGGAACCGATAGACCTTTGCACTTTCCGCTTTGTCACTTAACATGTGGCAACCGTACTTGTCCACCGGCGCCACAATATGCTTGCGCATTTCGCTAATCTTCTCGTATGTCCGGAGGAAGTGCGCCATCTTGTCCTCCTCCTGGGGGGAAGCGGCGTGATCATCACCGCCTTGCCCCTCCAACTTCACCGTACTCTCACCACGAGCTGAACCCCCCATCACCTTAACAAGCTTCCTCCTAAGCTCACCATCAACCTTCCTCAATTCATGCTTCTTTACGGTCACCCGCTTGGTACCTCGCTTGCCATCCTGGCTGGCCTGCTTACCCCTTCGTTCTGTTCGCCCATTTCGAATCTGTCCCCCTACAGGGGGGGGTAGCTGCTTCTTTTCCACTTTGGGATATACTCCCTTCACAAAATGTGCATTTGTCTCCCCCTTAGTCGCCTCCCGCTTTAATGTCGAGCCAGGTTCTACTACCCCCACCCGCCTGATGGTACTTCCATTCGGCTCATGTTCATACGTTATGCATATCTTCTTCCCCCTCTCCTTGGAGAGGTACTTGGACGTTCGATCCATACTTAGGAAGTAGAGGTTTACCACGAGGGCCTTCTTTGTATTCCCTACAAGTTTCATTAATGAGTCACGGGGTTTTCGCAGGTTCGGTTGTGCTGCATGCCGCACGGGGGGTACTTCTAATAGGTGGTTGCTTCCAAGCAGCTACTTCTGCAGTGAATTGAGAAGCCTCGTGAAGAGCCAGGCGACACTACGTTAACCCGTGCGCAACAACAGTGGCGAAGCCGCGGTGTGCGTGAGGATGATATAGGGCAGTAGGGATGCAGCACGGGTCGTCCCCATGATCTTAATCTGAGTGAGTTTCCCTATTTTTCTCTTCTTCCCCCTCCCGGGTGTTGGCCTCAACGTTTGTACAGTTCTGTTCGTTCCTGTTGTGCGACCCGTTCCTCCTCACAAGTCCCCCCCTTTGCATAAAATCTTTTCGCAACTGCTGATCCACCTGCAGCATATTTCCTGCCTCCCAAACGCCTTTCATAATTTCTGCCTTAACGGATTGTCACACCTGTTGTTATTCACCACATTGCGTTGGTCCAGAAAAAAAATGCAGGCGGGGCGTATACACCTCTCCCCGTCCCAAGCAAACCTGCACGAGTCGTCGGCAATCACACTGCAGCACAGGTGTATATCTCCCTCGTGCACATTTTCGTTTCGCACCTTGTGTGTAATGGGGAATAAAAAAAAAAAGGATAAAACACTCCTGAGGCGGGACGAGAAAAAAAAAAATTAGTGCCACTTTTTTTGTTCTCCCCTCCACTTATATTTTTTTTATTTTCAAGAATGCAGCACTTTTGAGAATTTTTTTTTTTTTTGTCCCCCCCTTTTAAGTGTAAACCAGTTTGGGGAACAGCATTCATTTTTGTTTTTTTTTTTTTTTTAAGTAGTCATTCATAGTGGTTCTTTTCCCACTTTATATCTTCGCTTGCACATCACCTGACAAAGTACCATGATATGATGCAGACTTGATGGACCGCGGTGGACGCACCGGCGCTGCCTCCAATGTGTGAGAAGCGTCGTCCAACGTGCTTGCCGCCCGACGGTTGGTGTGTCCCCTGGATGCCTTTTTTGTCGCTTCGTCTTTTCACTGCTTTCCGTGTCGCCCTGAGCGACTTCCCCTCCATCACCACTAACACGATGAATCAGGAAAATGAATAAGGGCAATTTGTTCAAGGACGAGACGGAGAAAGCCATCGTCCACTTCATTGTGTACCTCATAGGTGAGCATCTGTCGCGATGGCCCCCCTTTCCACCCCCAAAAGGCTCTGCATGTTGGAGGAGCATGGAGGCACGCCACCGTCTACTTCACATCATCCCTTATAACTTCGCACCACCCCCCCTGCAGGCATTCTGCTCGTACTGTGCGTGTACTACAACTACATAATTCTGAAGTATTATTTTTACTCCCTGTTTTGGGCTTTTATCGTGTCCATCCCCTTGCACCATGTGAAGGTGAAGCTGTCTGAGGTGTTGCGGAAGAAATTTCTGCGGAAAAGGAGGAAGGCAAAGGGGGTGATATCGCAGAGGAGGGAGAGTGACGATGTGGGCGCTGCAGAGTGCGCTGCACGGGAGGCCGTCCCCTTCGGCGAGACGCCGCATTCACTGCAACCGCTTCAACAACGCGATCAGTTGAATCTGTGCACACCAGACAGCACACTGAGTACGTACGCACAGAGCAGCCATGTGAAAGAATTTGATAAAACAAAAAGGAGGCCTGACTTCATCACCCAAGGAAGCATATCGAATAAATACAAAAAAAAGCTACACAGAATTGTAAAGAACGTGAAAAAGGAATTAGACATTTACCTGTACATGTTCATGCTCCTAATTAAGCCCATATACAAAAGAGGAGAAAAGGGAGAAAAAAAGGAAAATTTAACAAACGACTTGGAAAATTATGAACAAAGGAATGCCAGTGAAATATATTTCCTCGTCCTACACAGATTGATCCTATTTTACATTTTACGAGAATTCTTTTTCAAATACAAAGAGTTTTTACTAACCATTGGGGCCTTTATTTATTTTTTTTTTTTCTCTTATAAAATTGTCAAGGCTATATGGAGTGCCTATTTTTATTCCTTGAGTAAAAAGTATTACACCAAATGGTGTCGCCAATTTTCTTTCGATTACGTGTACTTTTACAGGCACTACATGAATGACCTCCTTACTGTGCTCATCATTATTTTCTCCATTATTATTTTTTCCGCCATCTCCATTTTGTTTATCGTTAATATATATGGCGAGTCGCTTTACATTATCAACTCGATTAATGCGTACCTGTCTTCCAACTTCCGCAATGTAAGTGGGCCGATTGTGGAGAAACGTGCATAGCACACTCATTTGGCCTCTTTTTACGGCCTGTTTTTACCGCCTCTTTTTACGGCCTCTCTTTACCACCACCCCCTACAGGCCGCCATCTTCAAGAATTTTCGAAAATTCTACCGCAAGCCTGGCAAAGGAGACATCGAAGATTTGTACGAGCTGGTGAACCTGAACAAGGTGCCCTTCCTGAGTAACAAAACTCTGACGTCCATTTCTGGGCACCTCAAGAGAGCCTTCGACATATATCAGCATATGTATGCACACACCTTTTTAAAGAACGGGACGCGACATATAAGTGCTTGTTGTTTGCCGCTACTCCTGGGCAGACTTGCTCTCCTCGTGGCAGGGCCAGACTTGGGTAGCATTCAGAGGCATACGCTTCATTTGTTAGAACATAAAAAGGACAAGAAATTTCCATTACCGAAAAGTGG